TTTTTTTGGTACAAGGAGTGTTTGTTTGATCAAGTATAGTCTGTAGGGGAGATATCACGTGACTTACCCCCAAGCTTTGATTGCCCTCATTTAATAACATAACCATCAATAGAAAATATATCGGATATTTTCTATTTTTTTAAACGTGCTTTTTCGTAGTAGACCATGCATATCAGTGTAACTCGATATTTGAGTGTGCTCTGTTCCGCACCATAATGAATATATCAGTGTGACTGAGGTTGTGTGCGGGTAAAGAAAACTGACTTTGATACATCTTGTCCAATAAGTGTTCCAACTGTCAACATTAATTTCCCGCTTTTAAAAGGTACCCTAATTAGCTTCAGTCGATGTTATGCACTTCCTTTGTGCATGCATGCCGTGTGATAAAGCTTTAACATGACTCCCATCTGCTGCCAAATAACTTCTCATGATGGGTTGTGGAACACTTCCATCCTCCTAAATGGATGACATGAAATAAAATGCTTTCTAAAAATAAATGACAAAAGCTTTTACAGAACGATCTGAACTATTTCTGGAATGATATTTATTTATTTATTTATTTTTTAACGAAAAAGAGAATTGCTGCCGATTTACTGTCCCGGCCATTTTCCCTCAGGTTGCTGATTAGGTATGAAAACGTGCTACTGACATCAGAAGACGTGTCGGTGATCGTAGGTTGACACGGCCTGCACTAAACATGTGATTTATGGACGTGTGAATGACTTGGCAACTGCTCGTGCGACACCTCCATCCATCAAATACACCAACCTTGATACTTGTATCAGGTTCTGGCTTACTGCCATTAACTGATGCATCACCTGGCTTGCAATTTCAGTGCGGGTAGCAGTTGACCTTTGTTTAAAAGCCAGCTCTTAAGAGTTGGGGTCGGTGCAGATGGTTTTTGCTGTGTGATATGTTTTAGCAGATAAGGCTGGCATGAAGGTGTGAACACTAAGATCTTGAACACAATTCTACTTTAAAATCGACCACTCATGTCACAGTACATGGGTGCAACCAGTTGACGCTATAGGAGTCAGCCAAACAAATGACATCATTGTTTTGGGGGTGAAATGTTTTCCACGCCTGGAAACGGGGAGCAATAAAAGTCCCCTGTGCGTTTTGTGGTTGAGGTGATTCTGAAGAGCTCTATATAAGAATAGGAACAACAAGAGAAATCTTGCTTTATGAGCTGCTAATGGTGCACAGGTGCTATTAGGTGAAGGGTGTTATCACTTTGGACAGATGGCGCAGGAAGAATTTGGATGATCAGATATCATCCAGCACAGCAACAGTTAACCTGTCAAGTCAGTTAACTACCGTAATCCATGTATGTGTACTTTGTATTGTCATTTATTTGGAAAACATTGTGGAAGGTGCGGCGTAAAGCTTAGTGTTATCAGTGATGACCGTTGGAGATTGTGACATGAACCGTCACGCTTTCTTTCCTGGTCACACTTTTGGCCCTGCGAGACTGATTTGTTAGTGTCGTATCACAGCCTCTGATATGAATATTAACATCAATGTTCGATGTTTCAGACTCTTATATAGGTAATATCTTGATTCAGTCGCTGATTAGTGTCATGTTACATTCGCCTGACTTGCGTGCGGGCAGCGTGGTATCCGTTCCCACTCCGTGACGGTGTGGGTGTGAATGGTTCTTTGTCGACCAGTTCAGGGTCCAGTCCGCCTTCATCCCGAAGTCAGCTCTGATAAGCTCCAGCAGCCCCCGTGTCGCTGTTGAGGATAAGCGGTGTTGAAAATGGATGGACATTGACTCGTGATTTGCTTATCAAACCATTTTTAAATTAGCAGACGTGTCTTATTTTATTAAAGTGCATTACAGCTTGTGCCAGATCAAGCGTATAATGTAAATTTAAACGAAGCATGAATCTCCTAAAATGGTCATCCATTTTTTTTCCACTAAGATTTGCGAATCGGCTTCTATCCATTGAGGCCTGAAGGCTTTGATCCATGGCAGATTTGGATTACTTTTTGACAAATCACCCTTCAGTGGTGATGAATGAGCCACCATTGACTCTCTCATCCATACATAAGACACTTGGTAGGTCAAAGACCATTCCTCAGCGACAGTAATGAGAGGAGGATGGCGTGCATGTGTATGCATACTTGTGAACCAGTGCAACAGAAGACTTCGGCATCATTACACACTCACAAACAGGTCTCCATGCAAAAAGGGAATATTTTAAGTCCCCAGTTTGTCATTTTTAAAATCAAACTAAAGTCATGTCTGAGTTACATTTGTGATTTTGCTTTATTTTTTTGTCAGCACTTTGTGTGTGTGTGTGTGTGTGTGTGTGTGTGTGTGTGTGTGTGTGTGTGTGTGTGTGTGTGTGTGTGTGTGTGTGTTGAAGCCCAGGCTCGATCGCTGGCCTGCTGACTGTAGCAACAATTTTGATGCTTCATTGACGCACTTGGATTCTTAAGACTGATCCCCTGTGTGATGGCTTGCAGCCGAGGTGTTTTTTTTTTTCTGGTGGTATCGTAGAAGGGCTGTTCATCAAACAACTTAGTGGAGTAAAACAGCGTATTGAAACAATTCATGATGTGTTTGTAATAGGCCCCCGGTTTGGCAGATAAGTCAACAGATAATAATAGTGTACAGTCAGAAGAAATGATAAACACAGGGAATCAGTTGCTGCTTGTTCAATGGATCTTGCTGTAATAGCAAGCTCACAGAACCTGACGTAGCACCACTTTACGGCCGCCGTATTAATAACAAACACACTGCTGGCTCTACACCAGGGGTGTTGAACTAGTTTTTTGTCGCATGTTACATCGTAGTTATGGTTTCCTTCAGACGGTTGTTATGACTGTGAACCCAAATAAATGCACGATTGCCTCATATTTCATAAACACAACAATTGATGAATAACTAATTTTGAATATAGAAGCCATTAAAAACTGTTTGTTCAAATATTATTACATTTACTTTAAAAGCGGGATTTGTAATGAAAAAGCATGCAATATCTATACATGTTGAAAAGTGAAGACAATTTGTGATTTAGGCCGTGGCAGGCGGGATCTGGCCCCCGGGCCTTGAGTTTGACAACAGTTACCATACTGCTATATATGTACACAAACATTTTAAACAATTGTGGGTGGAAAATATCCATCCATCCATCCATTCATTTTCTCATCCGCTTTTCCTCACATAGAGTCCCCCCTACCGCATTTCCCATTAAAAGATTAAATAGCACATTTGAAGTCATAATATGGTAAAAGGCCCTTGATGTAACTTACCTCTTCTTGAGAGAGAGCCCTGAGTCAGTGGTGACGTCAACCTATTGTGCACCTTCCTTTCCTCCAAATGAAACCGTGATTCACGATGGGACAGAGGACAAATTATTGAGCAGAAGGGATGACCGCTCATACAAGTGGAGCTCATGAATATCATCCTGGCCAGCATCCATGTACAAGGTAAAGTGTGTTCACTGTACGTGTCTCCTTCCTTGTCCATCTAAATTAAGAATCCTATCTATCATACAAACACACAAAAAATAGATTTCATAAGTGCCCTGAAGAATTAAACTGAAATGCTATGAATATAACTTTTGGTCCATCCCTTCTGTACGTTGCATTGTATCAGACATAAGTTATCATAGTTGTTCCTATATCGACGTGTTAGTTTTTATTTTTCATTTTTTTTAAAGCTAGAAAACAAACTAAATTCACAAATCTTATGAACAGTAGGCACGATTAATCCTGAATCTTGCTTCTGTGGCACTTTTTGATGTGGCAGAGCTGCTGTTGCAGCAACAGCAAGGGAGTTCCCCAATCATGTGGACATGAAACCCTCCCTGTATCTCTTCCAGTATTGAGTCTTTGTGACCCTTGAGGGCCACTGTAATTCTTGCTTGCATTCTGCAATGTGCAAAGTGAGCCAAAACGAGTCTGCATATTGTTCATTTTTGGTGTCAAGCATAACTAGTTCAAAAAAAGTTTCTCCTCACTGATCTCGCGAAGCTGGAATGATAACAAAACAGCAGGTTTCTTTGTTTCCTCTTTTCTCATCACTTGCTTGTGGCGCCGTCTCCACGGACAGCCTGTTGTTTGTGGGATCGCCATCTGTGTGACAAGGCCTCAATGCCCAGCTGCCTCTGTAGAACTGACATGACAGCGGAGGTGAGCATGGGGCACAACCCCTGTCAATCACTGTTGTCGACAAGATATTCCTTCCTTCTTTTCTGCACATCATGGGGAAAAAAAAACGTTCAACTTCTTCTTAACGACACTGCAGACATCATGGAAGCCTCAACACTAGGTGCATTTGAGAAATTTATTAGAATACAATATTGTGCAATAGGATTTATGTATAACATGTAGTGCAGTAATCTCTTGTTTATCGCCGGGTGTTCGTTCCAAAAAGAACCCGTGATTAGTGAAATCTGTGATAGTCATCTTTATTTTTTTTTGTTATTACGTATACCATACAATGCTGTATTGAAAGAAAACAAAGAAACTTTTTTTTCAGGCCCAAACATTAAATAGAACCAAAATATAAACATTTTCTTACAAACAACCATCGGTTTTTAGAAATACTGTGCAGAACGTTTCGGCGACGTGGTTTTTGTCATGGAAAAAATTTGGCAAGTCGGACAGCGATGAGGCGCAGAGACTGTTGACATTAGCCTGCACTCCCTTAGACAATCAGGATTCAGAACACAATGCACTGTTTAAAAACAAAAAAACTGCAGGAGAAAAATCCGTGAAACAGCGAAGCCGTGAAAGATGAGCCATGTTATAGCGAGGGGTTACTGTAGTGGGGTAGAAATGCAATTTCTTTGTTGTCCACCCAAAGTAATATCCAGTGGTGGGCTGTCCATTTGATACATTGGCCCGCAGTGCCTTAATCCGCCTGTAAAGAACACCACCATCACGGTGCAGTTATCCATCCATCCATCCATTTTCTTAACCACTTATCCTCACGAGGGTCTGGGGTGTGCTGGAGCCTATCCGAGCTGTCTTCGGGCAGTAGGCAAGGTACACCTTGAACTGAGAACCAGCAAATTCCACACAGGGAGGTCGAGCCCAGATTCGAACCCACAACCGCTGCACTGTGAGGCAGACGTGCTAACCAGTCAAACACTGTGCTGCCGTGTATTCTTTTTCTCTTTTTTAAATTGATGATCATTAATGATATGTTTATTTCTGAGACCACAAATGCAGTGTCAATCACAGCCTTGTGTTTTGATTTGTGCTTCCAGATTCTTTATAAAGGAAAAAAATGACTTTGGTGTCCCTTTTAAGTGGAATAACTTTCAAGATGGCCCAGTAACCTTTTCCTTCAAGGTAAAGTATGCGCCTCTGAACAACATTTCTGATTGCAGGACAACTTCACATATATTATAGTGTATTTGAAGTGTGCATGTGGTGAAATTAGGTGGTGGCTTGATGATATCCTTTTGTAGTATAATTATAAAATAAGTGTCAGGTCTGCTTGCAGATACATGAAGAAGCTTCAAGCTGCTAGGACATTGTCTCATAGCCAGACAAATATGGTGTTTTTGGGGTGTGGGGGGAATATTTTTGTGGTGTTTGGTGACACAGGTGTGGTCAGTTAAATGAGATGACTTTGTTTCGTTGTCAGTGGTCGTGGATTCTCCCATTGCAAGGTGTGTGTTGACATCTTTACACAAAAAAAAAAAACAAAAAACCCAAACTATGCCTCCAGGTATGGCTCCACCTCTTTCTCACTAGATCGACTTTCTTCAGCACAAGCCTGAGACATAGAAACCTCCTCCAGGCTCCGACATATAATCTGGCCCTGTCTGGCCCTATATCAAACAGGATCAATGGGTGTGTTGGGCCTACAGGCTCTGCAGGCAGCAGGATACCTCCGCACACATTCCTGTGACACATCCGTGTGCAAGAGACATATCAGCTGTCTTTTATGGTTGTTTTGCTTGAGGCTGGAGGCAAGGGAGGGGTGGAATATACTTCCAGCTTTACATCTCCTCTGTTAGAAGAAACATGCCCTTTATTTAGGGAAGTCACCTGGAATCTTAAAATGACTTTGATGATTTATGATATTTAATCTTAGGTGGTCAAATGGTTAGGACATCTGCCTCATAGTACAGAGGTCCAGGGTGCGATTCCGGCTCTAGTTGTCCTGTGAGGAGTTTGCATGTTCTCCCCGTGCCTGTGTGGGTTTCCTCTGTGTACTCGGGTGTCCTCCTCCCTTCCCAAAAAATGCACGGTAGATTAATGGAGCACTGAAAATTGTCCAGAGGTGTGATTGTGAGTGTCGATGGTTGTTTGTCTATGTGTGCCGTGCCTATTGGCTGGCAAAAAGTTCAGGGCATAGCCCGCCTACTTTCAAAGTCAACTGGGATAGGCTCCAGCACGTCCGCGATCCTCGTGATGATAAGCGTCTCGGATGATGGATGCATGGATAGTTCATCTGCAGAGGGAATGGAAATTAGTCAGTGGAATAGATGAATGCATATTGATTATAAAACAGTGCCGTTCACCTTTGGTATTCCTGTTTGGCACGCTCATTTTAGCTCCTTCCAACCTAGAAGGCCTTGTGAGGCTGTTGGGCTGATGAGATGGAATGAATCAAATCAGGAGTTTCACTGTGCAAAGGAATTAATCATATGACATCCTATGAAGCAGTTTGTCTTTGTACTCTCATTAATCAAACTGAGCCTGAGATAAGATTCGCAGACATACCATCCAATGGCTCCGGTACCAAGAAGACCAGGTCGGAAAGCAATTCGATGCAAACGGCGAAATATACACCACCTATTCGCATACATATCCGATTTGCATACTTGCAATACTCTAATGGGCCGTTAGGCGTAGCTGAATTACACACAACAGATTTTTGTTTAGCTATGCTTCTCAAGGCACACTTACCTAATTGGATTTCATGGTCATGTGTGAATCCATCATTTGTGCCTAAAAGAGAATTTTCTACGGGCTCGTCTTCAGGGTCGGCCAACTGCGTGGTGAACATTTATCACTTGGTGGCCTCATGAAGTTGAGGATTTAATGCTTCTGAATCACCCTTTTATTTGTGTCCTTGGGCATGTTCTGTTCATCACTATGCATCACACACTTGTTGTTGCCACACATGCTGCAGTCAAGTCTCCAAAACAACCAACCCTATAAAAGTGTGTGTGTGTGTGTGTGTGTGTGTGTGTGTGTGTGTGTGTGTGTGCGTGCGTACATAGGTGAGGTCTTAACACCTTTCTGGCTTCTGTCTGAAATGCATTGCCCGGAGCAGATGGGATTTTCCCGGGGACAGAACTTAGGTGAAACAGATTTAGTCTTTCTTCTAGTTTTGTTTTTCCTGTTTCCTGCACTGCAAGGAGGCCAAACCATGAACGAGACAGGAGTGGAAACAGACAGACAGTGTCCTTTTCAGGCTCCTTGGCCCATAGTCAGAATGGGATGTGGGTTTCAACCTGAGGACCACAGAACCGGAATGAAATTGGAGAGTTGCATTTTTATATGTTCCCTTATAATTAAGAACAGTTCTTTCTAAGATTGCAAAAAGTAGGTACAAGACAGCAGAGGACGTGATGAGAGTCGGCCACAAGATCAGTTCATGACTACATTGTGCTAAATCCTGCTCATCGAAGTGCAACTTCTCATGTTGAACTCTTGGAATGAGTGAAAACGTACTTGTAGTGTTACTCTCGAGACTGGTCTTGGTCTTTAGAAATAAAATGTTCCTCTGTGTGAAAGCTATGCATTTTGATTAGTTATAGTTTGTAACGTTTGCACATCGTGCAACTGCGCTTCATATTTTCGATTGCCACAAAACCAGTGGCCAAGACTCCACCACTCAGAAAATCTAGTGGCAGAACGCCCGCACATTGTGTGCAAGTGTGCAGTGGAGTTCCGCCTTGGTGTGTTTGTTTATATAGATCTGTGACAACAATTGACTGAAGTTTAGGACTGGATATTTCGCAACACTTTTGAGTCCTCTGCCCTCTTATAGAGGTAATTTTGGGCCTGCCAGCTCCTCTTTCAAGCGCCGTTTTCTCTGCCATGCTTTTGTGGTGGGTGAAGCTCTGCAAAAAATAAATTCAGACACAAATATTCCTCACCACACAAAGCTTACACCCACTGACACCATATTTGTTAAAAGCAAGACAAAATCAAGGGCTTTGAACCAACTCACAAAGGGAAATAAACCACAGCAATAGCTGCCTTCCAGGAAATAGTTTTCCCAAACTGCATAAGGCACCACCCATAATTTTATAACCGAGTGACTTTGGAATTCTTTCTCAGTGGAAATGAACTGTGCATTACTAGGCAGTATAATACAAGGCTTGATAGATAATTGCTCAAATTCCAACAAGCTTTCCAATTAGCATCAAACTTCAGCAAAGCACACAGTTTACCACTAAAGCCACTGGAGACTTTCTGCACTCAACGTTTTGGATCCTTGAACTATAATTCTTTCTGATCCCCCAAAACAAGTGCAGATGAGAAACCACGAAGCTATTCCTAGAATAAGAAAATAAGAAAGAGAGAATGAGGGAAATCAGGAAAGAAAGAAATAAGTACAAAACGAGGTACAGCTGGTAACTGTTTCATTCAAATGTGCTTGAACAATGTACAATAATATTGTTAACTATCTCATTCTTTGTGCTTGTGCTTCAGAGACAGAGGACAGAGAGTTTAGTTTTTAGCTGTTGACTGCCGGACTGATCTTGTGAGGACTCCTTGCTTGTGAATTGTGACAACAGAGTCCTTGTAAGGGGAGGTTGGTAATGCCTGGCACGGGCCATGAGCCCTTTAAAAGTCTCCTGCTGGTTCAATGGACAATTCAATGGCCATCAGCGCCCTCTTGTGTTTGTTTCTTTTATTTCAAAACTGCAGCAGAATAATCACATGTACTGTATATACGACTGATAAAGCTCTATAGCACCTTTAGGAGATGAAGTCTCGACTTCGGGTGAGAGGCAGGGCACCCCTGGACTCATTACCTGTCAATCACATGAATGATACAAACCATTTGTGCTCATATTCACACATTTTTGGAATGGAAACGTGTAGACACTGGGCGACACGGTGGTTGACTAGTTAGCACGTCAACCTCACGAGGTGCAGGGTTCGGCCTTTCTATGTGGAGTTTGCATGTTCTGCCCGTGCCTGCGTGGGTTTTCTCTGGGTACTCCGGTTTCCTCCCACATCCCCAAAACATGCTTGGCAGGTTGATGGAACACGCTAAATTGTCCCTTGGAGTGTGAGTGCGGATGGTTATTTGTCTATGTATGCCCTGTGATTGTCTGGCAACCAGTTCGGGGTGTGCCCCGTGTACTGCCCGAAGACTGCCCGCGACCCTTGTCAGGGTAAGTGGATTAGAAAATGGATAGATGGATGAAACATGTGCACACTTCCATTCAAACTAGTTCTAACTTGTCTAGACGGAAGGCACGTTTAGTGTCGGAAGCACATTCATGGGCAAACCCCCCAAATTAGTTGCTGAGCCTTTCGTGTGAAGCCTTTTCATGCCAAATCTTCTAGATTTTGGAAATATGTGTTAATCTCTTTAACTCAGACAAACATGAACAAGAATTAAAATCAAAATAAGCGAACCTGTTGCTCATTTGCATATGATCTCGTAACATCCTGCCAAAGTACTGTACACATGCATCTAACGGCAAGTGACGTGACTGCTTTCCTTGGCCTAACAATGTGTGGGAATTAAGTTTCCTCTCTGCAATATGTGTTTTCAGACAACAGGGGCACAACACTCCCTAAAATGAAAGTCCTGGGTTCAGCTGGCATTTGAGAGAGACATAACCTGTCAATGCATCCATCCATTTTTTTACCATCTCTGTGCCTTCAAACCCCACAGAGAGCACAGGCCACTTCAGAGTCCTCCAAATATCATGAACAATTGAGCTTTTTTAAAATTGTTAATCAGAGGTACTGAAATGCTGGTAGGTTTTGTGCAACCCCAGGATCTAATTTTTTAATTTTTTACTTCCCCTCTCTAAAGTATTATCTTTTTCAATGTATGTACAGATTAGAGGTCACCAAAACCTTTGAGCAGGGCTGTGTTTATTTTTTTATACCCACTGTATCTGGAAATATGCAACAATAAAACTTTTTTGTGCAAGCTTAAAATGACCATTTTTGATGGAATTAGTTCAAACCAAGGAGCACGTTAGCAGAATGGTTCGCACAACCGCCTCACGGTTCAGAGGTCGTGGGTTCAAATATGGGCTCCGGCCTTGCGATGTGGAATTTGCATGTTGTCCCTGTGTTTGAGTAGGTTGTCTCCATGTGCTGCGGTTTCCTCCCACATAAAAAAAAAAAAAAAGAAAAAGTTTGGTTCATTGAAAGCTCTAAATTGTCCTTAGATATGAATGTGCATATGAATGCTTGTCTGTCTATATGTGCAATGTGTGCCCTGCGATTGGCTGACAACTAGTCCAGGGCACATGCTGCCTCTTATAACATATAAAAACCTCAATTTTTGTCTACCTTTTATGGACTCTTTGAGTGGATAGTAAATAATTCAGTACTACTGCCTTCTGGTCCCAGTACAAGAACGCATCATTTCTCATCATTCTTGCTTTTCATTTTTGCTCACAGCATAGGACATGAATCCAAGGGAAACTGTCAAGCACCCATGAGACACAGGAACCCCCCCTCTCATTCCCCCTCCCTAACCCAGCCCCTCTCTCTCAACTCGGCACTCGACATTAGTGCTGGGCTGTTAGACAGTGTGCTCATTGTCCCCCAGCACGGCACCTGCTCTCTGCTCGCACAGCTTCACCTTCTCCTCCTGCTCAAGTATGATGGAGCTTGGACCAAGATGCCTCAGTGTGATCTACTTGCTGTTTCTATGTCTGTCTTTCTGCCTGCCCGGAGACACAAACACAAAAAAAGCCATCAAGATACCCCGCTGTCCTGCGACCTGTTCGTGCACTAAAGATAGTGCCTTTTGTGTGGATACGAAGGCAATACCAAAGAGCTTCCCACCTGGGATCATTTCTCTGTGAGTTGAAACTACTGTCATCCTCCACTTACTTGTATGAAGTCTTAGCTGTGTACAGCACACATCAATGACGTCACCCTGCTTTATGTCCTGAGGAGTGAAATGCATGCACTGTATGTTTTGAACAGGTGAGAAAACAGAAAGCATGCTATTTTATGAAGCAATTCCGATGTGTGCGCGTGTGCGGCATTTCTAACATTCTTCCCATGTGCTAAACTTGAACATGGCAACAATATCTTGTTGCACTTCGCAATAGATTAACTGGATCTGCAAGTCCTCGAAGATCACTCAACATAATGAAATGAGATTTAAGGGGAAGGGGGGTTGTGTTTGTTGAGAGCTTGCGCTCACGTCACCTCGACCCCAATGGACGAGGATTTCAAGAGCAAGGTGACCTGAAATGAAGTTGTGTGTCCCAATTTGGAAAGGCTCTGACACTCAATGACAACCGGGACAAATGTGTCCTGAGAAAAGAGGTTCAACAGTTGGGAAGGAAACCTCCTTTGACGGATTGATCTGATTGTTTGATTTGTTGAACATATAAACACAACATGAAAGACATACGGTAAAAAAAACACAATCGATAAAAAAATCTAAATGTGTTAAAAAAAAGTGTTGTTAAACCAAACAACATCACACTTGTGAATTCTGCACAGGACCATGGTGAATGCAGCATTTACGACAATCCCAGAAGGAGCTTTCTCACACCTTCACGTACTCCAGTTCCTGTAAGTGTATGACGTCAATGTTCTTTTTTTGCAAAGATCCTAACGTTTTCTCTCTTTAAGCCCCTCCCACACACCGAAACAATAATGCCAGGTTTGCACACAGTTGATGTTTTTGTGGTATGTATATAGGAACATACATCTCCTCTACCTTCTAACATGCTTTGACAATGAAACAACTCCAGCCACTTGCAGCCTCAGGTCTGCGGACCAGACATTATTAGAAGTACCAAGAACTAAACTGAGGCTCAGAGGGGATCGAGCCTTTTCTGTTGCTGGTCCCTCTCTCTGGAATGACCTCCCACTGAACATTCGGCAAGCCTCCTCGCTGCCCATCTTCAAAACCCGCCTCAAAACTCACTTGTATTCTTTGGCATTTGACTCAGCATGACTTAGATTGTTCTTGGTTTTGCTGTTCGGTGCTTTCTACTGTTTTTATTACCGATTTGCTTTACTGTTTGTTGTATATGTTAATTTGCTCCATGTACAGCACTTTGTATGCAGCGATGGCTGTTTGAAAGTGCTCTATAAATACAGTTGAGTTGAGTTGAGTTGAAATGAATTGCATTTGAAAACAGTGGTGACATAGCAGGAACACGAGTAGTGCTTCTGTATCAGTGTCATCCCAGATGACTGAGTGCCACAGTTGTGCCCTGATAAAGGCCTAATTGTCCATCACATGCAGTCATGAATGCTTTCTTATTTTTGTGTGCAAGTCTGCATTTGTTTGCTGCAACCTCTCATTTTTTTATATAGACTGTTGACATTATATGTATTGTAAATGTACTGTACCATTTTCGTAAACAGACGCATGTTCACTTGGCGTAAAAAAAAAAAAAAGGGTGCATCACCATTTTCATGCCGGCACAAGTCTAGTTTACCGTGTTTGGGAATTTGGCAGATCGCGCTTCACCTTTCTGGGCATTCAGGCAGACTGAAGATGTTTTCTACTATACGCCCCCAGCACATCTGACAATTTGATGATGGAAAGTAGACTCGACTTTGGACCAGGTAAAAACAGGTCTAAGTTGTGGCGGAGGTGTTGTAATGCGATTTTGGTGAATTTGGTAAAGTCACAGGCAGACAGATTCTGATATGTGTGGTAGATGGCATTGTATTTCATCGATAAATATGACAACAGCGGGCATCGGGCGAGTGGAAGATCTGCTTGCAGTTCCTTATAAAAGTACTTTGTGCAATTCAATCTTCTGCATGGACTCCAGCGAGTCCATTTCTTTTCCCACAAAGTCAGGCACTGTGTGCGCGCATCTCCTGCGCTGTATTTAAAGACAATGAGAAGAGTGACTGTCATTGGCCAGGAAGTAAGACGGTTCCGTTCACTCTTTTCTTACTGCACCCGTCTACAAACATGCCAAAAGAAAGACAACTCCACCCATCTGCACAGGTAGACTGCACTTTGCGCTAAACGTGCAGTAGGCATGAAAGTAGGTCCCCAGAGGACTGCATTGCACAATATAGAGGATGTCTATAAAGTCTGGGCACATTTGCAATTGATGGCAAAGTGGAGTTATTGCATGGAGTTCATGTGAATCTTGGAAAGTACATTAACCTTACATCCATCCATTTTCTGATCCGCTTATCCTCACAAGGGTCGCGGGGCATGCTGGAGCCTATCCCACCTGTCTTCGGGCAGTACTGCTTGCCAGCCAATTGCAGGGCACACATAGACGAACCACCAATCGCGCTCACACTCGATCACCGGGCCGCCGCACATTAACCTGTGCAAGATAAATGCTGGAAACAATATTGAATATGTTATTTGTTAATATTTAATTTGTCAAAATGTTGGTGAAAATGTCATTTCTTGAAAATATGCCTCTGTCCAAGAATTTAGGGGAGTACTGTAAAGTGTCCTTGGGTGTCTTGAAAGGCGCTTATAAATAAAATGTATTATTATTATTATTACTGTATAATGACAATACTCTAGGTTATTGCATGTTTATCCAGTGTATCAAACTACTGTACTTAGTACTGCTGTATTTTATTCTTTTACTACAGTTATCTCCTTCACAACTTTCATTGTTTCTGCAGACTTTTGAACTCGAACACATTCTCCACCATTTCGGATGATGCTTTCGCTGGTCTATCTCATCTGCAGTACCTGTAAGAAAAATTATCATTTCTTTTAAAAGGTTGTGGTCTTTATGGCAATTTGTTGTGATTTGGTCAATGCACATAGATAATGTCATGTCACATTACGTCAGAGTTTTTAACTTGTATTATCAATGTTCGACAAAACACGTAATCCTACTTTCATTTGAGACATTTGCAAGTTTGTACATTGTGTTCATGCTCATCGTGTTTGCTTTATTCACAAGCTTGACTTATTATTCGGGTGAGCAATAAATAAAGAGCAGCCAATAATAAAATGAAACTGTAAATCCTGCAATGACGGATAGTACATCATGTACGCGGCATGACAAATGTAGCATTTTATTTATTTGCCTTCAGGAAGCACTTTAGCGGATGGCTTGGTGTGTGATGATCATTGCCTCTGACTACTTTCTAAATGTCTTTTTTTGTGTGCTGGCTTCTAAAAGTTGCTCTTTCTTCATTTTCCCTGCATTTATAACACATATTCTAGTCTGGCAACTTTTTTCTTTTTTTTATTTTTTTTATCACAGGTTCATCGAGAATAATGATGTCCAAACTCTCTCAAAATATACCTTCCGGGGACTAAAATCTCTGACTCATTTGTGAGTATGTCATCACTCCCGGCTTGCCATTCTGCACTATGAACTAGCTCTATTTGTAGTACAGGGAATTCTTGGTCCTGGTACTTTGAATGAAAGCGTGTCATGTATATGTTGATGTGCGGCAAAAGGAGACACACTCAGTTGCCATGGCCATACTCAGTTTTTTCTTCCATTTATTTTATATTGATGGTGAATTCTTTTTCATCCAAACTTACTGTAATAATGGCTTTACCCATTACATTAGTGTAAATTTGTGACAGAACTTTTGGGTAACGTCACTGCCATATGAACGGAACTCGATCGTATACCGAGGATGACCTGTAGATTCAACAAAAACATACTCCAAGTCCGATATCTGTAGTCTCGATTTAATGTGAGCTGTGCATACACACGTACTGTATAATTAAATCCCCAACTGACCTTTTTTCAGATCCCTCTCAAACAACAACCTGCAACAGCTGCCCAGAGATCTATTTAAACATCTGGACATCCTCACAGATGTGTAAGTGCCGATTTGTAAGCGCGTTGGAGCTGTCTGTGTTTGGTTTAATGCACTACCGACCACATTCAGCTACGAAACTGACTTAGTAAATGACTGAGTCGAGCATTGCTTAGAAGTTGCATTTGTTGGTTTCAGAGACCTGCGAGGAAACTCCTTCCACTGTGACTGTAAGATCAAATGGCTGGTTGACTGGATAGACAAGACTAACACTTCCGTTCCTCCCGCCTACTGTGCCAGTCCCTTTGAATTTCAGGGCCGCAGAATCCATGACCTCGCTCCGAGAGACTTCAGCTGCATCACTGCAGGTTTCAACTTCTTCATCTTCGATTTGAAAAGCAATTTCATGTCGAGTTTGTAGTTTGTGATCTGCTATCCTTCTCTGTATTTTCTTTTTTTCTAGATTTTGCCATTTATGAAACGTTTCCTTTCCAGTCTGTGTCTGTGGAGTCTTACGAGTTCAGCGGGGATCAGTTTGTTGTCTTTTCTCAACCTGAATCAGGGTTCTGCACTCTTTATGTGTGGGATCATGTTGAAATGACATTTAGGACATTTCATAATATTCCCTGTAAGTTATGGCACCAAATCTGTGTGAATTCCATTCTTTTTGTTTGCTGTGCCTTTTACCTGTTCTGCTTTTATACGGTTTGTCTTGGCAGCTCGGTCATCTCTGTACTGCAAACCAGTGGTGATAAACAACACACTTTACATGGTTGTGGCTCAACTTTTTGGTGGATCTCACATCTACAAGTAAGCTTTTCACACTGCGGTTCCCATGTAGAAACTCTCTATTTTGGTTTTAAGATCTAAACCTTTAAATAAACAAACAAAAAAAATATTTAGATTGACCATAAGAGTTCCAAAGATTTGTTTTGAAAATCAGGTGGACTCAAGGTCAAAGGTATGTGACAATGATGTATGCCAATGGTTACTGGAATAAGTAATAACAGAGGCATGGCACACGTCACCGAGCACTTCTTAGCTGCATGTCTTTGAGGATAAAGACAGAAAGTCCGCTCTATCCAGATCTGTAGTTTTAAGTGAAGCAATGATGGCAAAGTCGAAATACCGTTCCACCTCCACTTTGCAGAACAGAGGGAAAATGAACTTTGAATGAACTTGCAATCACTACGATAGCGTGCAAAGAACAGCGGATTCCCTGGTGTGTGCTGAAGTAAAATTGTTCAGGAGCTGTCAATATACAGTGCATCCGGGATGTATTCATAGTGCTTCATATTTGTGTTCCATCTTACAGCCTCATTTTGAAATGGAATGATTTTTTTTTTCCGGCAGTCTTTGTGGCACCTCTGTCTGCTAGGACAAAGCCAGAAAAAAAAAATCTTGTCCTCCTCATCTAATTAACCCTTTTGGCCGCTAGGTTGACATGAAAACACTACAGAGATTATTGCCTGATACAGATGCGTTTCCATCAAAAATGTATGAACTGTGACACCACGGCACCATGAGGGTTTTCTTAAAACTGCAGGTGGGAAGAGGACCCTCTTCGCTTTGTGAAGATACAAGACATTGATACTACTCGAGTGAGGAAGCCTAACTTTGTGGAGACGTTCCAACTGGGTGGTGAATGCTATTTTGTAGTAGTAGACAGTTCAAAGGCCGGTTCAACCAGCATTTATCGATGGAACAGCAATGGCTTTTACTCCCACCAGTCGCTCCACCCTTGGCACCGCGACACCCATGTAGAGTTCCTCGATGTCGGAGGAAAGCCTCACCTCATCCTCTCCAGCTCCACTCAACCACCGGTGATTTACCAGTGGAACCGAGGGCAGAAGCAGTTTGATTTCCTCTCCCAAATCACAGAGCAAGCCGATGTGCAGATGGTCAAACACTTCTGGGTTCGGAAGGCGCTTTACCTTTGCCTCACACGCTTCATTGGTGACTCAAAGATACTCCGCTGGGAAGGCCAGCGTTTCATCGAGATCCAGACTCTTCCCTCTCGGGGCTCCATGGTTGTGTATCCCTTCACGGTGGGCCTTCGGCAGTATCTCACCCTTGGGAGCGATTTCTCTTTTTCCAGAGTGTACTTGTGGGATGATCTCACTCAGCGGTTTCAGCCATTTCAGGAACTCAATTTGAGAGCCCCGAGGGCCTTCAGCTTGGTGTCGGTCGACAACAAGGACATTATGCTGGCTGCCAGCTTCAAGGGAAATTCGCTGGCCTACGAGCACCTGCTGGTCGATCTCAGTGCCAAGTAGAAATGTGACGGACAATATGACGTGCCAACAACAAGAACAAAAAATGAAAAAGTGCAGGCATATTTTAGTGTATCTCGATATTTAAGTTGTGGAAAACTCTTAAATTATTTTGAAAATTCAAAAATAAATTTGTGTGTTACTGTATATGGCTCCACTATACACACAAATATTAAAATCATGGATTTGTATAATTTTGATGATTAGAGCTTACAGATAATGGAAACCGAGAAATTGGGACGGTATAATGAATCTGGACGACTTTCACGTTTTGATTTGAACTACTGTACTGAAATATATGAAATTTTCCACGTCTGTGTGGAAGTTTTGTTATTTCACACAATGTTTTTAATGACTAACAAAAAAATTGAAATCTATTTTATGAATTATCTTACATAGTTATTCATGTTAAAATAGAGCCTCAGTGCCATGCTGATTGAAATGCCAAGTTACTCTTTCTGTACATATGCTATTGTTGAAATGCATGTTCATTTATTGAATCAGTCACCAGATAATGCTCTTTTGTTTGATATCTGGTACTGTTATTTAAGTGTGTAAAATTTTAAAAAGCTAAAATTACCCATTTTAATCAGAGATGGCTTAATGTGTCCCTCAAGTGTTTTTGATGCTGATTCAAGAAACTTTTCTTGCAGGTGAAGTTTTGGAGATATTTTCTTTTTTTGTGTGTGTATTTAAGTGTGACCTATAAGAGCTTGCACGATACGGATTTTGCCATGCATTGTAATATATAGCTTCAACGCTTCAGGAAAAGAATCTCCGTTACTGAACCTAAACCTTAATTCGAAAATATTACGAAACAAATGATGATGATATTTTTATGTGCGAGAGAAAAAAGGGGACGGATTCTGTCTGAGCGGCAAAAAAAAAAAAAAAAAAAAATCTACAAGTTTATTTACATCTCTGGTTAAAATTAGTAATCAATTCTTGACCAGTGTTATCTGTGCAGTACTTTACATTTTGGAATATATTTATATGGTATCAGATATCGCTATGCCTGTCTTCATTTGTTTTATTCAGGAATAACAAACACTTCAACATTTCAAGTGGCTTAAAACAAAGGTAGAAAAGCGCCATACAAGAGACAGACCATTACCCTTCCAATTGTCCATTGATAACCACATAATCATGCTAAGCACTAATGTATATTTCTGATGTCAGTCAGAAACCGTTTTTCCAGTGTTGCAATGTACATTTATTGACAGCGGATTATGAATAAATGCTCTGTAGCCCCTGAAAAAAAAAAGCGTCTTGCTTTGACTTAGTGTATATCTATGCTGATGACCAGACAAAGAATGGGTATTTGACACTCAGGCATTTAGTAGGTCAAAATCCAAAATTGTGTATTTGTGATTCGATACATGTACAGTTCATGCATCGTCAAATAAAATGTGATTATAGAATTACAACCAAAACTCCTGCTACTACAAACACAACTGAAGGTGCAAGCAACTTGAACAAGCCCTCAACCTGGTTTTCATGTCAAACCTCAAAATCAAACTCTGACATCAAGCTCCACCCACATTAGGTGCTAAAAGACCCATCAGAACTGTAAAAACTGTTTGGTAAATACTCTAACGATAGCCATAGGAAACCTGGTTATGGTTCTGATTGGGGATCATTCGGAAAAATTCTCGAGTAGGACTCATGATAAAAACGGTTTTGTGACGCGCTAAAATTGTGTGACGTCTCCGCAGTTGCCGTCTCCATCAAGTGACGAAATTTGTCCCTCCTCACTCCTTTGTTGCTCTCCTGGTTTCTTCGATGAGGTTTCTTGCTGGGAAGCACTCCGATCGAACAGGGTGAAGGAACGAGGTTGCAAGTAAATAAGATTTGCGACTCCGGCGTCGACTTCCGGAATCTCCAGCTGTCACCGGAAGTGCCGCACCAACTTCCCGCTGTCATCAAATACGCTAGCGCTCACTGACTGCCGAACTATATTGGAACAAACATGTCAAGCGCCGTCGAAACCACGCTGCCTTCCGAATGGGACGACGACGAACGAATGAATTTTCTGTTCTCTGACTTCAAAGAAAACCGCGACGTGAACACAATGGACTGGGACAGTAAAATGGACTTCTGGACGACTCTGGTCGTACAAAGCTGCAGGGACCGCCGTTCCGTGTGTGTCAATCTGCAGTACCTCAACAAAACCTTCAGGAGGAAAGAAAAATCACCTCTGGGCTTGACGACTGTCATCCAATCCATGTCTAGGTAAATAAAAATTGTACTGGAGGGTGTCAATATATTTGTGAATGTTTGCACGTTCTCCTTATGCTAATGTGGCTTTACTCCGCATACTCCAGATTCCTCCCACCAAGTATACATACATGCACGTAAATTTAGATAAATTTAGATTAATTAATTTGTCCTAACATTCTAATCGATCCACTTTATTCCTACGGCCCATGAGCCTTTGCATGAAATAGGTGCGCGACATCCGCGACAGTGAAACTGGGCTTTGTTTACATGGAAACTGTCTGCGCGAGTCCACCTCATAACATTTAATGTTATACAAAGTTAACATTTTGGTACTGTTTTGTGGCCTAAGGAATGCCCGTGCAGTGCAAAATTATTGTAAATGAAAATTAAAAAAAGCTTGAAACAATTTGAAAAGTGCTCAAGTTTGTCCAAACTTACCTTGCTGGTGCTTTTGCTTTTATGCTCCGATGCCATAGGTCACTTGATAGACTTGACCAAAAAGAAAAAACAGTATACTCTGTAATAGCATGTACAGTACAAGAGACATGTACATGTACTACATGATGGGAGCGCCTTCCAGTAAACAACAGCCATAAATATGAATATGCAGATGTGACACTCCTTTTGAGCTGCATGCCTGGCGGCGATGCTTAGCTAATGTGCATCCTTTCCGTTGCCTTGTCTGGGACTATCACCCCTGCCAACATGGCAACCATGTATGTCCATGCATTGCCTTTGATGGGAAAATATCCCCACCAACAAGGCCGCCAGGTCGGCACATGTGTTAGTCTGGTCTAGTCTGGATACAGCAGCTCAACCCGGAAATACATGTCGCAGTTTGTTGATTGTGCCACAGTGCCAGGAAACAACAGCGCCCAATCCGGGAGCGAACATACTTTTCACAGTTACTGTATAAAGGAGTGTTTTGAGTGGACTGGACACTATTTTCATTCTGTTGGTTCTGGGTCAGTTAAATCCAGGTTCTGCTGCATTTCCCTTTCACCTCATCCAGATGTGGGAAGCTTCAGAGGGAGTCTGAGTTTGCTGCCAATGTTGATTGCGGCTGGCTGTCGTGGGGTGTTGGCCTCCTGCTGGTGAAGCCTCTCAAGTGGACCTTCTCCTCACTGCTGGGAGGAAACAGAGTACCTTTGGAAGAGTCTTTTGTTGTCATCGAACTGGTGAAGGTGCGTTGCTCACTGTCTTATGTGATTCTATGCAATATTTATACAAATCTTGTCAGATTCCAGCTCTGTGTGCCCCTAAACAATTAACTCCATAAGTGTGTTTTGTGATTATTGTGGTGCTTTAATTGTTTTTGCATCACCGGAGGCCCTCCATAACCTGTAGTACCCAAAACGAGATTTTATTGTGTACCCCACCATTGTATATTTTTATACACTGACAAAATAATTAGAATAACATTGTCTTTAATTTACAAGACAGTGCGTCACCCAGTTTACATGCTTAACAAATTACAAATACAAAATATGAAATAGAATATACAGTAAATTCCCTTACCATAAAATCTAAATCCTTTCTGTGATTACACAATTGATATTTATGGTCAGCCAGTGTCACTGGAATGTTTGTGTTCAACTTTGGCTCTTTTTATCTCACTGAATAGCAATACGCCATTCAAAACATTTTTGAGCATCTTTACTTCAGCTGATCAGTTGATCAACCACGAACAAACAGAGGAGCCATTTTCTCCACGTGTGCTGTTTTTATGGTAACTCCAAGCTTTGTTGTTCTTTCCAGGAGAAAGCTGCCGAAGTGCTCAGGATTTACCAAAGCAGCGAATTTGCATGTCACCCTGTCATGTCATTTCAAGAGCTGTGTACACTCACCTCCACTGTGTGTGCCGATGAAAGTACCCTGTGCATGGCACTTCTGCAGCTGCAGAGGGACAAACAAGTGGCGGTTTCCTTGCATGAGGGGGAAAAGGTAAAGAACGGAATGCATGACTCCCCAAATGACTTCTCATTCTTCTTTTTCCCCACCTTAGCTGTCATTTTATATTGTTTTTTGGTTTGTTTTTTGTTTTGGGTTAAATACAGATTGTTAAATTTTGCCAACCTGGGCAGAGTCGCGTCTCCACTGTCAGTGAAGTTGAAATCGGAATCTACCAGTTACAGCGTAGTGAGAAACTGCTGGAGGAGCGTCTGGAGAAACTGGGCATGGAGGCTGATAAGTACTTCCAACTAATAATAACACTAATAATAAATAAATAAGTTTCACCAAAATCAAAACCTATTTGGTTGAATTTGGTGATTTGGCATGGAATGACCCGACGATACACCTCATTTCTTTGTTTGTTTGACTGCTTGCTCACAGCCACCCACAGAGGATTCACACGCAATTGCTGGGGACAAAAATGCTTTTTAAAGCTGCTTCATATTGCTTGTGTTCAGGTGCAGAGAAGAAGCAAGACTTCTACTTCGAGAAGGGAAAAAAACACAGGTGAATCCTTAAGATGCTCCACAACATAATTAAAGGCCACAAGGAATGACCCAAATTCGTTACGTCCGGTGTTCCGATTTATTGTGCCTTCAACAGGCACTGAGGTGTTTGAGAGGTCGGAAAAGGGTGGAAAAGAGAGCAGACAACTTGTTCGGACAGCTGGAGTCCATTAGAGGCATCCTGGATCGCATAGCCCAGTCAAAGACTGATAAAATGGTAGGCTGTCACAAAATACAAATAGACCGAAAATCAACTTTGATGCCTACGAGATTGTCCGTCAATGCTGAGATTGGGTCTCGTGAAGGTTCTACAAGCGTACCAAGCGGGAACGGCCAGCCTCAGACTTTCTCTCAAGGATGTGACGGTGGAAGGTGCCGAAAGCCTTCTTGATCAAATCCAGGAGGCAAGTTCATTTCAAAACTATTTCTTGCATACTTTTGACTTTGTTTGACCTTCAAAACAAATCCTGTGTCGTTGAACCAGTTATGTGACAAACAAGATGAGGTGAGCCAAGCCATATCTGGGGCAGTGACCACGACAGGTAAGTTGCTCTCCTCTTAACATCAACTCTACTGTTATTTCTTAACTGGCGGCCAGCGGTGGTTTTATACACTCGACTGCAAAACCTATTAGATGAAGGAGCTTTCTTATTTGCAGGGTGTCCCAGAATTCTTAATTAATATTCTAAGGTTCACATATGTCAACACTGATCTCTCTTTTTTTCTTCAGGAAAGTACAACATCAATAGTTTGTTCTGATAAAATAAACAGCGCATATTTCTTTTTTGTGTGTGTTAAACTGATATTCGCGTTTGCTTGAGTTTGACACACTTCTAAAGCCATATTGTTCCCCATGACATCTACAAGCTAGAGGCTCAGCAGCACTTGCTTTTCTTTGTAGAGTAGACGTGTGGCTCGAGCGCTACGTCGTTACACTTCATCTCCCTTACTTAATGTGTTCTGACTGAGAATTCGGTACTTGTCTGTGCTGCACAGAAAAATCTCAATATGGCATCTACAGATCCGTCCCTCGTTTTAACTCTTCTGATGCAAGCCTCTCAAAGTCATGTATTTCCAAACTAAAAGACAGTCCGACTTGACATGCCCTTTAAAGATTTCATCGCACGAGGCAGGGTCCTCCGTTTGTGACCAAGTTCCATTCCTAAAACAGCGACACACCTGAATTTGGACACACCTTAAGTCTATCACACTAATGCAGCAGTAAAGTCATTATTGCAGTAAATATTTCTATGAAAAACAATCAAAAGGGAAAATTTTCAAACACCACAGAGAATTATTAGTTGTGGCCCGGGATCATCCTTTGGGGCAGTTTAGTTATCTATCGATCTATCTATCTTTCAATCTATCTATCTGTTTATTTATTTATGTGGAACAGGGTCTTAGTCACGGCGGAGGGAATCATGTTAAATAGAAGTGTGATCACACAACCTCTGGCTCCTGCTCGAAATAAACAAAATGTCAGAAAAAGCCTACTAGAACAGCTGGACTCTATTTTGGCTGAATCAGATGAATTCACACACTGACTGAAAAAAAAGCCATAAGCAGCATGCCGGCAACTACTATTTGAGGATTATTATTTATTTACTTTTGTAGATGATGATGGGTTGGAGGAAGAACTGCAATCGCTGTTGGATGAATCCAGCACGGGTCCCGAGGTTCCAAGCTCGGTCCTGCCGAGTATCCCGGGTGACGACTTGCTGGATTCACTGCCTGCCGTCCCTCACACAGACCTGAATAATAGCGCCAAGCAGCTGGAAGAACAACTCAAGCAGCTGATTCTCTAAAGATTCAGGTAGGTTCTCATTTTCCATCATTTTTAATGGAATTGTAACCACAAATCTAAAAATGATGCATTGTGTTTTTCCGACACATGCAGGACTCCTGCAGCGCAAGAAAAGGAGCTTTTTGCAATGCAGAGGCAAACAAAGTGACCTGGAATTTTTACTATGTAAAGCTGGGAGCGGTTTGTTGTCACAAAGTAAAGACATTATTAAAAAAAAAAAAACACTACAGTATATGTAAAAAGGTATAAAAGCACTTTACTTCATTCAGTCCAAATTCTAAATGCCCTTGCTGTGGATGCATGCCAAAGAAGAAAAAGGAAACATTTTACTTTTCTCGCATTTGAATGTGAAGCTTGTGTGAAGTCAACATTTTAATTAGTGTTTCTGAAATACTGTATCCTCTTTGGTATGCCACCACTGAGCATTAGGGTGGTCCACATTTTTATGGCAAAAAAAAAAGTTTGTCGGATTCGTCGGCCCGGTCGGAATTCTTGTCGATACTATGGTACAAGGTTCTGTGCAAAATTTCATTCCGATCTGATGATATTTTCCCGTCCCGCAAAGCGGCCAAAGTTTCCACCATAACAACTGGTCTCAATAGGGTGAACATGTGTATTTTAACCGTGTATTTTGCCATGCGTGACACTGGCTGGGCTGAATGTTGCCCGAACGATCACCTCCTGACTAACTAAACCTTCCATCGCTGCTCTCAGCAGCCGGAGACAAACTCAAACGCACGCCTAACACACAACGGTCACCTACTGGCGAGCTAATATCTTTCAATTGAAGTCGAGAATCGCCGGAATTCTTACTGGACGCTGAGCTGAGGACGCTTTTCGACATCGAACATCACCACGGCTCGTCGGCGCGCTCGTCACCTACGGGTGGTGAACGACTTTGCGGAGAGGGGCGTCGCCCTCATCAGCGCGTTCTGCGGCGCCATCACGCGCGACGAGGAACAGCGACAGCACCTTCTGCAGGTCGTGGAGCGACACCGGGCGTTGCACCCGTGCGCGAAGTAGGCATGGGAATGGCACGCACGGCGGATTTCGTTTTTTTTGCGGTCTAACAGTGTCACTAGTGTTGATGGACATTATAGACAGATGGACAGATAGACAGATGGACCAGTTAACATGGACCAACAATCTCACCAGTGTTGAAGGATAACCACGGTTGCCTTTTTTGCAATACATGCGTTCCTGTCTTCCGTCTTTGAATTATTGCAAGTGCGAACTGAGCAAAACAAAATCCTTACTGTACGGGAGAAACCGTACTACCATTCAGCCCCGTAACATTCTTTCCATAGGGGAAACTTTGGTCGCTCTGCGGGACGGGATAAAATTATCCGATCGGAATAAAATTTTGCACACATCCTTGTGTCATAGTATCGACAAGATTTCCGACCCGGCCCGACGAATCCGACAAACTTTTCCAAAATGGACCACCCTACTGAGCATGCTATTAATTTAGAATTACTTTGACAAAAAAAAAAAAAAGTTTGTCATTGAGTGTATAGTTGTATTAAAGGTTAAGTGTTTCTTTTCCTGTCTTAATCTTGTTTGCCAAATGTTTCATATCAAACTACATGTCTCACTTGAGTATACTCATCAAGACAAAGAAGTGAGTTTTACTCAATATTTTCTGCAAATAAAATATATTTTAATCATACTGATGGGTTTTTTTTGGGGGGGTCATCTATTTGATGATGTCGTCGAGCGTTGGTGGTGGTTGTATTCTCCACACTCGTTTGTCGTCTTTACGTCTTCATTTTCAGAGTTTACACGTCTTCACAACCGTGACCACCAGGGGTCGCTGGTTTGCACTGCACCAAATTGAGGACTTTGACTCGACTTTGCACTTTGATTTTCTCCAATGAAAATACAAATGTAATGATATTTATAGTAACCTTAGATTATAATGTAGAATATAAGTAACAATTTGTGAAATCGAATACTGTTTTCTATGCATTTCTCCTTCCTTCACTAAACAAACGCGACATTTTCAACATGTCAGGGGAAGATATATTTTCTCATAACGGTATGCATTCTGTGGTGATGTTTTCCTTTACACTCTGTATCTTGGCAATTGAAAATGTGTGCAAATTAATGCATGTTAATTAGCACGCAATTTAGTTTGCAGTGTTTTGTTATAGACATGCCATAATGAGATCCCACCAAACTGTCGTGACCTCGAGCGTCCTAGTGCATAAGCATGTATGGCCATGATGAAGCGCTTTCACTAAGACACAAAAGCTTGAAGCTCACATGCAAGTTAGTAAAACATGTTAACTCTGTTTGGTCTTGTTATTTGTGAACTCCAGAACTTCATTCAGAACCACTCACCTTTAGAAGTTCAAAACAATAAAGCTTGATGTGTGTGTGTGTGTGTGTGTGTGTGTGTGTGGGTGCACGTACGTGCCTGCTGCGCTACAATATATCCGTGGTGAATGACACGTGCCATTGCGGCCGCGTTTGATCAAACCAGATGAAGCTTCCGAGTAGTTTCGGTTTAAAACGCCTTACTATACATGGTCGTTTTTTTCGTCTAAAAACACCTTCCTATAAATGGTCTTTTTTTCAGCTAAAAACGCCTGACTATACATGGTCATTATTTTCGGCTTTAAACGCCTTACTATACATGGTCGTTTTTTTCGGCGAAAAACACCTTACGATACATGGTCGTTTTTTTCGAGTTAAAACGCCTTACTATACATGGTCAGGTTTTTTTCGGCTCAAAACGGCTGATTATACATGGTCTTTTTATTCGGCTAAAAACGCCTTACTATACATGGTCGTTTTTTTCGGTTGACAACGCCTTATTATGCATGGTCGTTTTTTTCGTCTAAAAACTCCTTACAATACATGGTCGTTATTTTCGGCTCAAACGCCTGATTATACATGGTCTTTTTATTCGGCTAAAAACGCCTTACTATACATGGTCGTTATTTTCGGCTAAAAACACCTTACTATACATGGTCGTTTGTTTCGGGTTAAAACGCCTTACGATACATGGTCGTTATTTTCGGCTAAAAACACCTTACTATACATGGTCGTTTTTTTCGGTTGAAAACACCTTCCTATACATTGTCGTTTTTTTTCGGTTGAAAACGCCTGATTATACATGGTCGTTTTTTTCAAGTTAAAACGCCTTACTATACATGGTCGTTATTTTCGGCTAAAAACACCTTACTATACATGGTCGTTTGTTTCGGGTTAAAACGCCTTACGATACATGGTCGTTATTTTCGGCTAAAAACACCTTACTATACATGGTCGTTTGTTTCGGGTTAAAACGCCTTACGATACATGGTCGTTATTTTCGGCTAAAAACACCTTACTATACATGGTCGTTTGTTTCGGGTTAAAACGCCTTACGATACATGGTCGTTATTTTCGGCTAAAAACACCTTACTATACATGGTCGTTTGTTTCGGGTTAAAACGCCTTACGATACATGGTCGTTATTTTCGGCGAAAAACGCCTTTCTATACATGGTCATTTTTTTCGTCTAAAAACGCCTCACTATACCATGGTCGTTATTTTCGTCTAAAAATGGCTTACTATACATGGTCATTTTTTTTCGGCTAAAAACGCCTTACTATACATGGTCGTTTTTTTCGTCTAAAAATGGCTTACTATACATGGTCATTTTTTTCGGCTAAAAACGCCTTACGATACATGGTCGTTATTTTCGGCGAAAAACGCCTTTCTATACATGGTCATTTTTTTTCGTCTAAAAACGCCTCACTATACCATGGTCATTATTTTCGTCTAAAAATGGCTTACTATACATGGTCATTTTTTTCGGCTAAAAACGCCTTACGATACATGGTCGTTATTTTCGGCGAAAAACGCCTTTCTATACATGGTCATTTTTTTTCGTCTAAAAACGCCTCACTATACCATGGTCATTATTTTCGTCTAAAAATGGCTTACTATACATGGTCATTTTTTTCGGCTAAAAACGCCTTACGATACATGGTCGTTATTTTCGGCGAAAAACGCCTTTCTATACATGGTCATTTTTTTTCGTCTAAAAACGCCTCACTATACCATGGTCATTATTTTCGTCTAAAAATGGCTTACTATACATGGTCATTTTTTTCGGCTAAAAACGCCTTACGATACATGGTCGTTTTTTTTCGGCGAAAAACACCTTACTATACATGGTCGTTTTTTTCGTCTAAAAACGCCTTACTATACAGGGTCGTTTTTTTTCGGCTAAAAACGCCTTAATATAGATGGTCGTTTTTTTCTTGAAAACACCTTACTATACATTGTCGTTTTTTTTCGGCTAAAAACTTCTTCCTATACATGGTCGTTTTTTTCGGGTGAAAACGCCTTATGATCCATGGTCGTTTTTTTCGGTTTAAAACGCCTTACTGTGCATGGTCGGTTTTTATTCCACTAAAAACGCCTAACTATACATGGTCGTTTTTTTTCGGCTAAAAACGCCTTTCTGTACATGTGTGAATACTTTATTCTTTACACATATTGTAGCACTCTCCTTAGTTTGTAAGGTGTAGGCAGGGATTACATTTAGATTTTATATGCTCGTGTAAATGGTTTAAAAATTCCTTTCTTCATAAATCTCGTTTAATCTTAAAAGTGCATGACTATATTTTTCAAGACCAATTACTAGTTCAGGTTTTGTGCCTTTGTACAGTCAGCGGGATCAGTTGCAATGCATATATGTGAACGATAAAAGTACATTGCACATTTGTCTCAGGAAATCTTTGGTGCTTCATGAAATGTTTTGTAAAAGATATGTTCATTAAATTTCAACATTTTCCGAGTGTTCTTGTGCATCTTTAGACCAAAACAAAGGAAAGACATATTATTTTGGTTATTTACAGCAGAGTATGGTATCATTTTTAATGGTCCGACCCACTTGACATCTACCGAGGCCCTATGTGGCCCACAAAGTGAAATGAGTTTGACACTCCTGGCCAAGAAAGCAAAATGACAAAACGCCACGATCTCTTTGTGCAACTCGTCTTCAATTGAAAACGAAGTTGGCTTTGCAAACTATCTCCTGATCTCAGGATGGCAATCTCAAGGTAGGCAGTCGGAAATACTGGCGTGGTCGATGGGTTATGGGTGAGGTTGGAGTGCCGTCACATCGCCCACGAGAGACGCCAACCGTCTCACCAATTATGTTCTTTTTTTTTTTAACCTTCAAAACCTCGTGTGGTCGGCTGCCTTTGACTACATATCAAAATTTCGAAATTTTCGCAGCAGAATGGCCGAATGGTAAAAGACCTTGCGTGGTGAGCAGGCGAACCGAACTGGTAAGAAATCTCATTTCAACAAGCCTCATTTCATTATTCAGAGTTGAAGGAAGATTGTTCTTGGGTCCTCCGTGCCACATGAGGGAGTAATCTGCTCACCGCCAACACTTTTTGCTCTTCTTCCTGTTATTCGCAAGGTGCTGAAGTCAAACTTTGGGCCAGCCTGAAAAGTAGGAGACATTTACACTCGTTCAATGCACCATCATGACTACTTTTATGACTTTTTTTTTCTCCCCCAGGCAGCAGTAAACACGATCAGCTTCCTGCTCTCGAAAGACCCAACACAGAGTCTATCTCCCTGGTAAGTTTCATGCCCAACATATCTTTGTCTGCACAAGAAATTGACTTGCGTGTAACTCACGGATGCCTTTCCTCTCAGGTCAACACACCTGTCCCACGTTCTTCTCAAGAGCTGACCATTTCGCCGCCCAGCAACAAGCAGACTGCCATCCAACTTTTTCCTCTGCTTTTGTGATGTCTGCTCTGCAAAAGAAATAAAGCTTGATTACAAAGAACACTTCAATTCAACTTAATTTTTAAACACATCACCACAATCTAACTTTAAAAAAAAAAATTAAAATTATTTTGTTTTTTTTTGTAAACTTTTTTCTGAATTATTTTCAAATTTTTTTTTCCAAAAATGTTTTTTCCTGGATTTTTTTTTCCAGGCAGAAAAATACAGGAAAGTGGGTGTGGCCTGGCTGGAATGATGGTTGATGATTCGCTGATAGCTGTGAAAATGGGTGGAGCATGACGATAGCATGCTGCGATTGGTGGACTGTTGGGGGCGTGGTTATGCAAATTTGAAGCAATCTGATTGGTCAGAATGTGGGAAAGTGGGCATGGTTATGCAAATCAGGGACAGGCTTATGCAAATAAAGGGCCTCACCGCGATTGGTGGATGTCAAATTGGGTGTGGTTTGGGGCGGGCATTGCTTCACTTTTTCAAAGTCCCACTTGAGTCTTGAGCTCAGACTTGCACTTGGGTCACATTAGACAGTCTTTTCACTGTTCCCGTCGGTTTCACATGACCAAAAAGCTCGATTCCTGGAGTTTCGAGTCATGTGGAGACCAACGGGAACAGTGAAAAGACTGTCTGATGTGACTGAAGCGCAAGTCTGAGCTCAAGACTTCAGTCTTTGAAAAGGCTTCAAGTGAGTTGAGGATGGATTTGGTAATGATAGGCAAAGACTCGAATTCAAGTTGAACAATTTATTGGACAGATTAAGCGAACATGACAATATCACAGCATTTGACCAGTCAATCTTTGTGTGGGCCAGCTCAAGTTGCACGCACACAAACACTGACGACAGGCCTGAGATGGGAG